CACGCACAATATTTCGCATGGGCAGAATATTATCAGCAGCAAAACACATCTGGACGGTACTACGCATCAGCAGACCATTTGTAGGCAGTTATTTGCAGGTCACGTAGTGGCCTCTCAGCCAATGAAAAGGATGAAAAATGCATCGAATGAAAATCACTTTTATTTAGCCTCTCTACAACGGCCACCTCTCCAAAACGGCAACGGCCTCTAAAGCGCATCTCAACTGCCAAAAATAACCTGTCGACAACGGCCAGTTAATCAACAGCTGACTTAAACTTTAACACAAACTTAAAACAAAACAAAATAAGACAAAACAAAATAAAAACTGTAGGGTGATGAACTTGGTCTTCAAACAGCTTGCACCCGCTGTTGTATTTAATAAAAACTATTAAGCTGAACGCTTTTGATAGCAAAGTTAATCTGTCTGGTGTGATTTATGACTTATTGGCAGAGGTAAAGGTTGATGTCGTTTATAACGAAACAGTTAACAGGTATAGAACTCTGGTGGTCGCTAGCAATGAACTCAGGCAAACCATGGTATTTGCCTTTTTTTGCCGTATCAAAGTGACGAGAAAACTTATTACTTTAAGGTATTAAAACTTCTGTGCGTTTGCTCATTTTGTTGACAGACTGAAAATCACGACTGGGAAACTGATCATTGCATTTTCTCGATTGGGCTTCTTTTCAGTGAGATTTTCCTGCAAAAACATAATTAAAACACTTATGAAAAAAATCTTTAAAAAAGCAAAAGCCTCACTGACACAGTATGAACAGGGCTGGAATTTCTAGTTCGTAAAATTGCAAGAACATAGAAAAACTAGCATTGTTCGTCTGGATTATTGAAATCATGAATATTTATGATCAAGTTTGTGAAAAGATTCATTTCTTACAAAGTGTAGGGTTTCCTTACTTTTTAGATCTTTTTTCAGGTCCCTTTCTTTATCTTCCTTTAACACGACGTAAAATGAAAGCCACTGGACGTTCGATTCTAAGTTACATTAAATAGTGGTTTGAAAAACATTTAAGCAATATTTTTTTTCGACCGTATTTTAATTACTTAGCTTGCCAAATGCCTACTTGTAAAAGACTATAGAAAATGATCACGTTAGCTGAAAGATAAGACTTTTATTAGCAACTTCCTATTTCACTCTTTTGGTATAGTTAACTGACGGCTTTGTAAGTTTGATATTTTATGACCATATTCATCAATCAGCTTGTCGCATTAAACAAACCTTTAAGTTAAACGCTTTATTATCATCGTTGATGTAACTGGTGTGATTTATAGCTTATCAGCAGATTTAAGGTGGCTCCCCATAGTTTTACGACTGCACACTCACATAGGACGAAAACTCAAGTAATCTGCGCCCGCTCAAAGGAGAACGTAAGTGTTCTTCGATTTTTATGACGTCAACATGAGCACAAAAAGCAAAACTGTGTTTCCTTCGGTGAATATTTTTTAAAATTTGGCTCAGTTGTAACCACATACAATTCCTATAGAATGCCCTATTTTTGTTAAAATCTGTCAGAGCTAATCTAATATATTTAAAAGAATGACAAATCACAGAACATTGGAAAAACCGTCTGAACAACCTTGACTTTGTACCAATTCAAAATGTCACGCAATATCATTTCCATGATGTGGCAAAGAAAGAAAAAATTTCACCGAAGGAAAGTACAAATATTAAGGAGTTTAGGCCGAAATGAGGAATATATCTGCCTGTCATTCGATGAGATGTTGCCATGGTAACGGCCTTAATCCAAAAATTGACAACCAAAAAATAAGCCTTATTTTAACGATACCCATACTGGTAAATCTCTACAGGGAAAACTTTTAGAGAAATTAACTAAGTTTCCTTTTCTCGCGCTCTATAGGGAGGGTGTTCGTAAATACTCTAGGGAGCCACCTTAAAGATCGACCGTTTTGATAGCGAGCAAGTTTGATAACGAAACCAGACTCGCATTTGTTGTTGAAACAAATTCATAAATAACAATAAATTGTTATTTATTGTTATTTAACACTAAACCTTCTAACCTCTAAATCCGTTCAGTGATAGACAGTGATAGACAGTGAGTCTCGCCTTTTAGTTAACATGATCATTTTCGTAAAGGGAATCTTGCCTGAAAAGTACTTCTACTTCCAAACAAGAGACCATTTCTCTTGTTCCAAAGTATACCTTAAGGCTCTCTTTAACTGATCCTGGGATTTTAAGGTAGTATCTCTGTAAGTGGTTTAAATACGCAGAGTTGGGTTCTTAGTTTAAAACCCCTGGGCGTCACCATGTTTACTCTTTGGTAATTTATGACGTCAATGCGCGACCAGAGATCTCAATATGGGGTCTACAGAAGAGGATTTCTCGCTGGAACTGAACATATTCATCTTGAATGTGAATTAAAATTTATCAAAAGCACTTCTATATCTCTAGATCCACGCAACGCTATATTTGAGAAACGTCTAACCACGCATTGACGTCATAATTTCGTCAAGCCTTGTAAAAATAAACATGGCAGCGCGGAAATTTGAAATCCTAAAATAGCTGAAAGGAAACGTTTAGCATTCAAAACAGGCAAGGATTTATCGAATTCAAATTTCTGAAACAATCTAACACAAACACTAGCTTTTTTTAGCAAAGATTCCCAGAAGTCTTGCGTGCGTTTAGCGAACTAGCAATTAAAATACTCTCGAGAAGACTATCGCCATTTTTCAAACCATGTAAAACAGAACAAGTGGCACCTTTTATTATATCCTACATCAGTGAACGGGTCCCCTCAATGACTGATTAATTCAATTGGCGGTTTTCAGTAAGTGTCACAGAGTCTGCGGCAATATTTAAGAAGTTCTTTTGCCACCAATTTTCTAGTTACATTAAATGTGACAAAATTGGGAAAGTTTCGGCTGAATATAAACTTTTTGCTATCATTCATAGAAGAGGAAATAAACCAGCTGCTAAGAAGAGGAAACAGGTAAGGTTTTTGTTTAAAAAAAGGATCAACAGTAAGGATTTAGGAAAATAGATCTTGCACGGATCAAACAGCCACCCTCCGAATTATTGTGGAGCAGTCCCTTGAGTGGAATTCCTCCCTGTATATCAACTTCGTTGATTGTGAGAGGGCATTCGACCGTGTGGATAGGGAGACCATGTGGAAACTACTACGGCACTATGGAATACCTACCAAGCTTGTGTCCCTGATTAAGAGCAACTATGAAGGAATCACCTGCAAAGTAATACACGAAGGGCAGTTCTCCAGACAGTTCCAGGTCTAGACTGGTTCTCCAGCAGGGCTGTTTACTGTCCCCTTTCCTTTTCTTGTTGGTCATAGACTGGATAATGAAAATGACAACGAAGCAGAGAAGGAATGGAATCCAGTGGACATTCTGGTCCCAGTTAGATGACCTGGATTTTGCGGATGATCTAGCCTTACTTTCCCACAACCATCAACAAATGCAGGACNATGGAATCCAGTGGACATTATGGTCCCAGTTAGATGACCTGGATTTTGCAGATGATCTAGCCTTACTTTCCCACAACCGTCACCAAATGCAGGACAAGACAACTAGGCTGATGGACATCTTTGTACAGGTAGGTCTTAGAATCCACAAACAGAAGTCCAAAGTCATGAAAGTGAATACAGCCAGCACCGAGCCTGTCCTGTTGGAAAGTAGTCCACTAGAAGAGGTAGAGTCCTTCACTTATCTCGGTAGTATCATCAATGTGCAAGGCGGTACTGATGAAGATGTCTAGGCTAGTATTGACAAGAGCAGGACAGCTTTCCTACAACTTCAGGCAATTTGGAAATCCAGAGAATTGTCCCAACGCACCAAGATCAGGATTTTCAATTCAAATGTTACGCAAGTTTTACTTTATGCTGCAGAGACATTAAGGATGACAAAAGCTGTCGTCTCCAAAGTACCAAATTTCATCAACAACTGCCTCCCGAAAATCCTGAAGGTGCACTGGCCAGACAAAATCAGCAATATCAGCCTGCGGGAAAGAACACAGCAGATCCCAGCAGAACGGGAAATGGGAAGAAGGAGAAGGGGATGGATAGGACGCACGCTGAGGAAGCCAGTGGCTAGTACCACGAGGTAAGCCTTGTCTGGGAACTCCCAGGGGAAAAGGAGAAGAGGCAGGCCGAGAAACACCTGGCACCCTGACCTCCTAGCAGACGCCAAGAGGATGGGCATCACCTGGAACCAATTAGAAGCAAAGACACAGGGCTCTGAAGGTCTTCCGTCGACTGCCTATATCCAGGAGGGGTGATAGGGTCAAGTAAGTAAGTAAGTTTTAATTTCAACCTTGGCAAACGCAAAATAGTGTGAAAACAGCAGATGACATTTCTTGAGCCGAGCTAGGGGTGATTCCAAAAAACCGCAGTCACAGTTGCGCTGTTTGCACTAAAAACGGAGAGGCGACGTTACCCGAAATATAAATCTTATTGCCCGGTCAGAACGAGAGTGTGGTA